TGCCGTCGAGTGGAAGGTTAAGGATATCAAAAGTGAAGAGTGATTTTCTGGTGGATACTAAAGAGAGTAAGAAGTTACATGTGAAAATTGTATATGTAATAGTTGATATAAATCAAAATGAGGACAATGACTTTAAGGTGGATGATTAGAGTTGCGCAGCTGAAGCATGATGTGGCGCAGTTCGTTATGTGTGTGTGACTTGTTAGGAGTCAAGGGTTAAACATCAAAATCCTATGAAAATGATACAAACCGTCAGACATTCAAGAATAGAAGTGATAGGTGAAAGATTTATATATTATTAGTGTTACTGCCATGTCAATAGATGTATTGATTTACTTGCTCATTGGTGAATTGTAGCATGGTTCTACTAATAATGCGTGTAAATGTTGCCAGTATTATGGTTATGTGGACGTTCTTATGACAATGTTTTTGTGTGATGAGATGATAAAGATGATGTTCATGTCGTGGAACTCTATATTCTTAAACTGTGTTGTTTCCCCGTTTCTTATGGCAAGGGTTCGAGTGCGAGTAGCTCTTTCTTATGAAGGAAAATTAGAGAAGCGTTACCTACGGTGATGGTAACGATTTTGTTGTGCTCCCGTTCCCGAGTAAACCATATCCTATGATGGGGGATCATGTATCCATTTGAGGATGGAATAAGGAGCATAGTGGAACCGTCTGTTCTTAGCTTAGTGTTACTTTGGGTGTGTATTGCATCTTGTTGGATTATTGTGGTTAGCAATGTGGAATGTTGATTAGTGATATTCGAAATATTTCCAAACATGACGTGGGAGTTGGAGAGTAGGATGTGAGAGTCGTATCCAAATTTTTTTACACCAGGTAAATTTTCGAGTTCGAAAATGTTCTAAGTGGGGAAGAGTTGTAACACCCTAAAAATTATAATTAATTATTTAATTGATTTTTGTGGATTATCGATGCCTTTCTGTGTGATGTTTGATGATATGTTGTGGGTAGTGATGGATTAATGTGATAATTATAATTACTAAGATATAAATAATTTAGTTATAATTATCTAGAATTATTTACTATTTAGTAATTAGAATAAATAAAATAATAAGGTGGAATGAGAGAATAAGGGAAAGATGATAAATATGATGAGGATTAGTGATGGTATGATGGGAAGAGCATAGAAATGGTCCAAAGGGTAAAATAAAAATAAAGAAATAAGACAATTAGAGGTCACTCTGTACTATCATGACTTTTGAAGAAAAGTTAGAAGCGACTAAGGCACGGAGAAAAGAGAAGAGGAATTCATCCTGTAGAGGTTGAAAGAGATCAAAACGCTAAGAATAACCAGGTAAGGGGTTTAATTGTGTTTATTATAATTGATATTAGATTAAGGTAGTAGTAGGTTTGTGTTTTGTGTGATGATTTTGATGAAGATTGATGAAATTGATGAAAATCATGTATTGAATAAATGAATGGATGAATCCCTTATGAATGTATGATGGTAAGACCTCTAAATAAGTGTTATAGGTTATTATAAATGTTATATAATCATAGGATTTTTAATTCTAAAAATGCAACTTTTTACGTAATCGAATTTGGAGGTCCAGAAGGCCTCCAACCGTGAAAAATTGAAGGTTGAGAAGTGTTGTTTTGCAAGCAGCACCAGGAAGTGAAGAAGCGAGGAGAGCGCCCCAGCAGCGCCAGGCGGTGATGAGGAGAGAAAGGAAAGTGAGCCTCTGGAAAAATGTATGGTGAGGGGGACAACGCCCCAGCAGCGCCAGGCAGTGAAGATGCGAGAAGAGCACCTCCAGCAGCGTCAGGCGAGCATTAGGTTGTGCAGTCTGACAAAATCTTTTATACATCGTAACTTGAGTTTCAAGAGTCAGTTTGACGCTCCGTTTGAAGCATTAGGAAGCTTACATGATTAACTATATTATGATTGAATTATATGAGTGTTTTGATTCATGATTCCAATACCTATGTGTTTATGAGATTGATTTATTATATGTTTTCATTCTAAAATATTCTATTTTGATGATGAATGCGATGTTGATTATGATGCCCTATTGTGATGATTGGTTAATGATGTTGTTGTAACATAAATGATGTGATTTATGATGATGATTTGGTGATGTGCATGTGTAAATATAATACATGCTATTGTGATAATTTATGATTATTTTTGTGATGATTCTATGATGATTATGTGATGATTTATGTGATGATTCTATGATGATTATGTGATGATGATGTGATGATTCTATGATGATTATGTTGTTGAGGAAACTTGACTATCCGGAGTCGAATATATGATATGTCGAGTGAAGTTGATAATAAGAATGTTTGATGTGTATACATGCTACGGGAAGAATATTTATATAATGACTACATGAATGATGATGCAATTTCTAGCCATGGTCGAAGTATTAATATTATTGTGCATCATACATTCATGTCATATGTTAGGAATTTGATCCGCCCGTGTTTTTAGGAAATGTGTATAATGATGGCGTCAATCTCATTGTGTAGATTGAGTGTGTTATTATGATGTGTTATTATTCCAAGAGGAAATCGATCCTATGGTGGGGATCTTTGGAGGGTAATGATCCAGTGTTCATCAATGAAGTTTGATATCACATGCATGAGTCAAAGTTGTTGCATTCATTCTATGTGACATTCCATAAAATTGTTGATGAATCTCGAATAGGGAATAATTGTGAACTATGTGATTAGTTGATGTTTTGACGATGAAAGATGTATGAGGGATGTTATGATGTATTGTGTTAACATGAAGCATTGATGAGTTGTGATATAACGATAATTGTGAAATATGTGACTATGTGATGTTTTCATGAGGAAAGATGTATAAATGATGCTTTGATGATAATTGTCGATTAAGTGATTTGATGATGTTGTGAATTAAATGGTGTTTCGATGATTTTATGATCAAGATATGTATATGTTATTATGATATGAAGGTGTGAGTATAATATTTGGTAAATGATGATGTATGGATTTCATGATGATGTTGTTTGTAACTACTATATCTTTTCCTTATATCTTTTGTAATGAATTGTGATTACTCACCCTTTCTGTTTGAATGTTGCCTCCACGTGGGTAACACGCAGATTCTCAAGAGTAGTTCGTAGAAGCATTGAAGATAGCTTTGGAGTTATTTATTTAGTTTTCTATTGAATAGAAGGTGTATTGCTCTGATATGTAACATCGGGTTGGGAACGCTTGAGTTAATGTTATGTTCCTTTTTGTTGACATACTTTATGAGTTATTTTGATTATCTGAGTGGTTTTAAATTACAACTTGTGGAAGGTTAAGATGATGATATTTTGAAGAATATAATGAAGTTATTTTAAGATTAATATTTTGATGTGAAGTTTTGATTTATGTGTTGATATTTCAATAACGGAATGATTATAAATGTTAAAAACCCGTGTTACGAAGCAAGTATGTATTTGTGATGCTTTGTTATGAAGTGTGATACCCTGGTGTAGTGACGTTATTTGAATTAATTCGTTAAATTGTATGAATAATACATGTGGAGTTAGAACGGTGTTACATTAGTGGTATCAGAGCATATCGATTTGTCCGACCAGGTTGTCTAATATTGTTTGTTCCTTAGTACACTGTGAGCGAAACACAATCGATACTTGCTTACTTTTCTAATTGTTTGTCTGCAGGAGTTGGTTTGAAACAAGTGGGGAAGAAGTTTTTGCTTCTATGAGATGTTTCAGTTGTGAACAGTTGGTTCAATGTGTCGCACATTGCATGAGTGTAAATGTTGTTGAGACTGCATTTTTCCCGATTTCAAAGAAAGTACGAATTCAAGATTTTTGTTTGTTGGTCAAGTGGTGACTTCTCTGAGGGAGAACAGTCAAGTATTGTTGAAGGTTGTTTCTCAAGAGATAGAGAATAAATAATATATTTGTTATGTTTAATCCAAACATTTAAAATTTTAATTTCTTATATTTAATAAATATGTTTAACTATTTAATTATATTAATTTATAAATATATATTTAAAATCAAAATAAATAATGTATACTATTTATTTATCTTAATTTAAAATCTAAAATTATTAATTTTTATATATTAAAACAGAATATATAATTTATATTTTTTATAATATTAAATCTATGTAGATATTTGTGGCGTTATTTTCAAGTGACAAGTTTGTGGGATGATTTTCAAGTGACAAATTTCGGTGACATAACATTCTATATTATGTTGTGTCATGAAAATCACGTGGCAAAGTGTTCCGATGCGAAAATCATATGATAACTTTGTGACGTGATTTTTAGATGGAAATTGAGTTGCCACAAGCGCTCCTGCCACATGATTTTTGACGTCGCTAAATGATGGTTATGGCATGATTTTTCACTTTGTGGCGTGAAAATCACGTGACAAATGATATTTTTTTGTAGTAATTCTCGATTTTATTATTTTTTTCCTCATTCATTATACTCTCTTCGTCCCAAAATAAATGTCATATTTGAAAAAAATATTTGTCACAAAATAAATGTCACTTATAGTTTTCGATATAATTTCAACTTTTATTTTTCAATTATACTCTTTAATAAATACTCTTTATTTATTATTCACTCACTTTATCTTAATTGTAATTTGAATATATCAATAATTAATATGATAAATTAATAAAATTATTTTTCAAATGCAATTGTGAATAATCAAACCATAATTCTCTCTAATAAATTCAACGCCATTCACAACTATACCGGTTAACAATTGATAATATCACATTACTTGGAGTGGGGGAATAGTTGAAAATCTACACAAGCATTAACTAACACAAAACATTGACAAACATTTTTGTTTTTATTTAGCCATCAACTCAAAACAAGCAAATTAAAAACAAAGGCACAAACATTTATGTGCATTGCTTAGCATAGTTAAAGCCTGAATCACATGTACTCACTAACTCTTTTATTAATCCTACAAATAAAACTTAGTAAAAACTAAATCCCAGCAGCAGCAGCAGAAGAACCACATGATTCATCATTTAGACATCTTTGCAGCCAATTCTCTGACCAACTTAGCAGTTACAAGTGCTGTCATGTTATTAGAAACATCACGTTGTGGATTGTATTCAACAACATCTCCACCAACAATATTACCTTTGAGATTTTGAAGAATGTTTAAAACATCTCTGAAAGAAAGACCTCCAGATTCAATGTGAGACACACCTGGAGCAAAGCCTGGATCAAGAGAATCAACATCTATTGATATATAGACACCTTTTACACCTTCACCCGTACCAAGTGTCTGCATAAATAAATTTATCAAAATTTAACCTTCAGCGATAATATTTATCTATATTTATATATTAATATAAAAATTATATATAAATATTTAAAAATCAATAATTAAAAAGAAAGTTTCAAAATTCAATATATCAAACATTACAGAAAATAGATCATAACAAAAAAATAGAGAGAACAGAAAGAGACCAAATTCTCTAAATATTCGCGGTCTTTTGCAAAATTTCTCATTTCATGTATCTCTACTCCATATTTTTCGCCTTGTTGTCTTCCATCAATATTTATTGATCTTATACCAACCTAAGATAAATAAACTAATGAGTTAGGAGCATGAAGAAACATACATATGCAATATAATATACAAATTGTAGCACAATTTTAAATTTTGGTTGAGATTGCAAATGCATCTATAGTTATTGCGAATGGTGCAAACTTGATTGAAAAGTATTTGAAGTATATGGTTAAATGATTGCTAAAATTTAGTGTTAAGCATATGTAATATGATAATAGGTGAATTTAGATTTGAAAAAAAACCTGCACTAGTCGTTTCGCATATTTACCCTCCATAATTCGAGCAAAGGGTGAAGCATGTGAAAAATAATTGTCTTCAAAGTTTTCATAGAGATCCGGATGTGCATCAAAATGAAGAATATCAACTGGTCCTCCAAGCTTCTCAGACACAGCTCTAACAATAGGATATGATATTGAGTGATCACCTCCCACAATTAAGGGACGCAATGGAGCCTGCAAAAATGATAATTAAAACAAAAAAACCATGAGAATAAAATAAATTAATGCAAGTCATACCATAAAAATGAAGAATAATACTAGTAAGTATACATGATTCATCACTATCTTGACAGAGTCGCCGATAAAATTCATTATTCTCTCTTCACTGACTCCTAAATTCCGTAGATCTTGGATAGGGATATCACCCACATCAGCAAAAACATGCGGCTCGATTAAATTCTTGCCTGCAGAAAAAAATGCGGTAATTTGAGTTTAAATCTAAAAACTTATATAGTAAAAGTTTATATACCTTCTTCAGTTGTTGAGTTTGTGCTGTCATCCCAAATGGCGTGCCTAACAAGAGGAGGAGCAAATGTGGCGCCTTCATGATATGATGCATTGTGTCCCAAAGGCACTCCAAGAAGAGTTGAAGTTGCTATAGCACCACCCGCAATTTCTCCCTAGACAAAATTAACTAACTTCGAAAATTACCGACGGTAAAATATTCCCTCTCTAATTCTCTCCGTCGCAAAATTTGACGACGAAATTAAAAAGAAATTTAACATTTTTTTCTTTAAATACTTTCTATTTTTTTAGTAGTTGTGTAGATAGAAGACACATGATGATATTTTTATAAAATCACAGGTTTTTACATCTTAAAAGGATAGTGATGTAGTGTGTTGTTGTTTTGTCTGTTTTGTCTATATACTTTTGATTATATCATTTAATAACAAAATGATATTTATTAATGGATGATATTTAATATGGAGTCCACCCAAAAACAATTTTTAATACTTTTAATAAATTACATTTATCTCATTTTTTATGATATAATGAATATGTACGGACAGTGTAAAATAGTATAATTAAATTTTTAAAATAAAAGAATGATGTGTTTTTATATATGATTGTGATTGATTGACAGTATAAAATTAATTTACATTGTTAGTGCATCACTTATTTTTTTCCATTTTTTATTAGAGAAAATAGGTGATATTTTGACAGTTTAAAAAAGTTTTACATCATCTCCAATGAACGATGTACATCTCGCTTCATCATATTGATAACTTGAAATAACTTTGATTATTTGACATATTGGTGATTTTTTATTAAACGATTGTGTAAAACTCTTTTACATATACGGTAGACTATTTTATTACTATAAATTTTTAATTTATTAAAAGTTAAACCGGTCTTTCTTTTTACCATCTTTAAAAATGAAAGTTTAGTTGATTTCATAATTTTTTAAATAAAATAATAAGTCAAAATAAGTAAGTTGAGGAAAAAACTTGCCTTAAGCTTTGCTTTTTCTTTAAGATATGTAAGTGCTGCTTGGATCACACTATCTTGGCCATCTTTTGTCAATTTAGCTGCTCTTTCTTGAAATTGGGAGAAACTGGAGCCTAATGGTGCTGAACTTGAGATCATCTTTAGCAACAAAAGAACAAATAAAACATTAAGCATTTAATTTATTTAAAGAAGCTATAGATAGTTCTATAATAATTTAGTTTGTACCATTTTTTCAAAAGTCTATATTAAATCGACAAAAAAAATTTTTGCTTCAATATTAACTAAAATAATAAAATATATAATGCTTTTACTTACTTTATAATTTGCTTTTCCTTGAAGAAGCGAAGGTGAAGCATCTATCACACGAGTCGCTCTGTCTAGTGTCTGCTTGAAGCCTTTGCGTGCTAAAATTGACATCATTTTCTGCATGAAAACAGTTAACAATTAATAGATGTTATTTTCTAATGTTAGTGAAAAAAATCCTGCAGAACAACATCTAGCTATCTTATCATGGTACTTCATACCAATTTCTCTAATAAAGAAAAATGGCTATAACTTCAATGACCAGTTTATGAAACTCACTATGTGGAGGAAATGGAATAACCCATCTATTTATAATGGGAGACCACTTACATTTCTAACGTACTAGCAATTTGACAATAATGTAGTAGCCGCCAAGGTTAGTTTAAGTGGGCCCTAATTGTACTTGCTAAAAATTAAATGAATAATAACCACTAATTGTGTAGGGTTGTCATGAGATTTAGAATTGTTGTGGTGTTAAAATAAGTTCAGGTGGGAATGGTAAGAAGTTCTATATACTAATCGTTTTATGAGTGAATTTGAATGCCCCCTTCACCCTTAGGACCGAATAGTATCTTTTGGGTCAGGATCTTAGACTCTAAGAAAGTAGTAACAACATTATCGATTATGTGTGGACAACTAGCGAATCCGCTTTTGGCAACATGTATATCCTCCCGCTTTTGGTGAATCATGCGCAACCTATTGTGCATCCTTTTCAAATAAACGAATACAATATATGCTACCTAGCATTTGCTAAAATGTTACAAATCATTAGTAATATTTTTTTTGATATAAGTGTTACTAATGATTCGTAACATTTTAGCAAAACTTCCAAGTTTGCACAAGCTTGAACATCTTCTTGTAACATTTTAGCAAAAGCTTATTTGAGTATAGGCCCATTTGTCTCGTGGGTAGTTTGCAAAAGATATTATCAAAATTGTTGGCAATAAGATTGAAAAGTGTTTTGGGTAATATTGTTTCGGTTAACCAATCTGCTTTCGTATCTCAGAGAAACATCGCGGATGGGATTTTAATGGTGAACGAAGTGTTGGATTTGGCTAAAAGAGAGAAGAGGAGTTGTGTGATGTTGAAAGTGAATTTCAAAAGGGCTTATGATTGTGTTAGTTGGAACTTATTGAGATTTTTGCTTCCACAAATGGGATTTGAAGAAAGGTAGATTAGATGGATGAAAAGGTGTGTGTTCTCAAAGTTATATGTCTGTAATCCTCAATGGAAGTACGACTAAAGACTTTAAGGTGGAAAGGGGTCTTCCTCAAGGAGATCCTTTATCCCTTTTTTGTTTGTGTTAATTATTGAGGTTCTAACCATGCTTGTGATTAAAGCGGTGGAAATAGGAGACTATAGATGTTTCAAGATCAATAAGGAAGACGAAGTGAATATTTTCCAATTTGCGGATGATACAATCCTCATGGCGGACAATGGTAGTGATAACCTTTGGTGTATGAAAACTATATTTAGGGGATTCGAGATGATGTCCAGATTGAAGATTAATTTTTATAAAAGTAAGCTTTATAGTATCCATGTGAGAGGTTGATTTTTGGAAGCAGCTTCGATTTTTTTGTCGTGTGATATTGATACGCTTCCTTTCAAATTTCTTGGGGTAAAAGTTGGGGACAGCTCTAGGAAATTAGCTATGTGGAAGGAGTTGATTAATAATATGAAGAATAGGTTAGCGGTTTGGAGAGGTAAACACCTCACTTATGTGGGGCGTGTACAGATGATTAACTCTGTTTTGAATGCAATTCCTATTTATTCTCTATCTTTCTATAAACACCTATTAAAGTGCTAGCGGAAATTCGTCGAATTCAAAACAATTTCTTATGGCACGGGTGTAAAAATAGAAGCACGATTCATTGGATGTGTTGGAAAACCATTTGTAATCCACGGGAAAGGGTGGCCTTGGTGTTAAAGATGTGGAGGCTTTCCTTTTGGTTTAATTAAATAAGTGGAAGTGGAGGATTTTGAAGGAGAAGGAAGCAGTGTGAACTCATATTCTTAGAAGTATATACGAGAAGATCAAAACAAAAGTGCTCATAGGCTATAAAAGTGTGTTACATAGCAAGGATTATATTTAGTGGAGGGATTTGATTTTTTCGGACAATAAGGTGGTAGCTATCAAGAATCGATTCACAGGATGAGTTTTGTGCAGAGTTAGATAGGAAGTGGGTTGGATCTATCTTTGACAAAATTGCTGAGTTTTTTTCTTAATTGAGAGAAAGTCAAATGCAGGATGGTCAGGATAACAATGACAGGAATATGGTTGGCAACTGTTTGGAGCTTATGGATGATGTGAAATGCCATAATTTTCAAAAATTCAGCTTTCAATTTTGATGAATGCATGTCGGTGATAGTTCTTAGCTCTTGGTCTTGGTTGAGCTCCTTTTGTACTATCGTAAATGGTTGTAATTTTTTGGTTTAGAATACTCAGTCTCTTCTATGTTTTAAGAAATAGGAGCTTTGTGGTTTGTGCTTTGAGCAGAGTATCCCTATACTTCTTTTTAATAGATCTTTGCCTATTAAAAAAAATCTCCGTAAATACTTTGAATTTCATATAATAATAGTAGCTTATTTGGAGGTCTTCTTAAGCTGCTAGAATATGAAGTTTTTGCTACTTAATTGGTAAATATCAAGTTTCTCTCTTTTTAATGGAAATAAACTCACATGTTCTTTAGTGAATTTTTTACATGGTTATTCTAAAAAAAAAAATTTTGGATTTTTTTTTTGGAATAACCAAGTATTAAAAAAAAATTCGTAAATAATCATGTTTCGGAAAAAATTACGCAAATAACCATGTTTCAGAAGACTCCCAAAAGGAGGAGCCATCTCACTTGGCGCCTACACCTACTTTTTAAGGGGAGGCGCCATCTCACTTGGCGCCTAGGTGCTTAGGACTTGCCCTAAGTCAAGTGAGATGGCGCCTTAGTGCATTTGCTAGGGAAATTTTCGCGTTTTTTTTCAATGCGGTGTGTTACGTATTTGATATAGGATCAACAAAATTGACTTTTTATTTACAAAATATGATTACACACATAATTATTACATAAAAAAAACAGATTAATCAGAGGTCCCCCGGAACCCGGTAATGACCCCCAGTTCCGCATCCCCGTCCTCGCCTTTTCCGTGCTGGGTTTCGTCGTGTTTCCTGCTGTGGCAGGGTCGATGGCCCAGCGAAGTCAATGCGTTCTGGATCCATGAAATCAGTCAGATCTCCATATCTAGAAGATCCGCTTTGGTACATTCGGTTACCCATACACTCAAAGTTTGGTCGTGTTGGCGGTGGGTGGGGTTCCATGATTGGTCTGTAGCACTGGTCGCCTGAGTACGGGGGATAGAAAGGAAATGAATCTTGGGGTGTTTGGTATTGAGGATGTTGAGTGGTTTGGTGATATTGTGGTTGATGGTAAGTTGGGTCGGTTGGTTCATAATCTTCGGACAATCCCAGATCAGGGCTAAGGTTGGATGTTGAGGGGCCCATATTGGGATATGCAGAAGACTGGAATTGTGTGTGGGGTATGCGGGTGTGTTGGTATTGTGATTGAAATTGCGGTTGGGTGTGAGGCATATGGGGGTATTAGTACTGAGGTGGTGATTATGGTTGGTTGTGGGGCATGTGAGTGTAATTGTATTATGGTGGTGACTGTGGTTGGGTGTTTGTGGTTCTGTTTCGTCTGGGGGTGGTGGGAGATTGATGTATGTTGGATTTGTTGTTGGGGAAATGAGGGTTGTGCCCATTGTGTTCGTGGGTCAACCAAATACCTTGGATGAAACACGTACATTTCAGGGGTACTAACCGATCTGTACCAAGATAAATATTGATCTGTATGTCGCATATTGGTGAATAAGAGGTGGCATGGGTTGCAGAGTAGGCGCAGGCTAGGTGACAGCCTTGGAGAAGGCATCTCTGAATGCATGTAACACTATTGGACGTGATGGGAGGCACCTTAGAGGTTACAGTGTATGTGCAGTGTAGGCGCAAGCTAGGTGGCAGCCTTAGAGAAGGCATCTCTGGCATGCTTGTAACACGATTGGACATGAAGGGAGGCGCCATTGGACTTAGCGAAAGAGTACAAAAATGAAAGGTGTCACCATCCCCGTTGGCGAATAGGAGGTGGCATGGGTTGCAAAGTAGGCGCAGGCTAGGTGACAGCCTTGGAGAAGGCATCTCTGAATGCATGTAACACTATTGGACGTGATGGGAGGCGCCTTAGAGGTTATAGTATAGGTGCAGTGTAGGCGCAGACTAGGTGACAACCTTGGAGAAGGCATCTCTGGCATGCTTGTAACACGATTGGACATGAAGGGAGGCGCCATTGGACTTGGCGAAAGAGTACAAAAATGAAAGTTGTCGCCAGCCCCGTTGGTGAATAAGAGGTGACATGGGTTGCAGAGTAGGCGCAGGCTAGGTGCCAGCCTTGGAGAAGGCATCTCTGAATGCATGTAACACTATTGGACGTGATGGGAGGCGCCTTAGAGGTTACAGTGTAGATGCAGTGTAGGTGCAGGCTAGGTGGCAGCCTTGGAGAAGGCATCTCTGGCATGCTTGTAACACGATTGGACATAAAGGGAGGCGCCATTGGACTTGGCGAAAGAGTACAAAAATGAAACGTGTCACCATCCCCGTTGGCGAATAAGAGGTGGCATGGGTTGCATAGTAGGCGCAGGCTAGGTGACAGCCTTGGAGAAGGCATCTCTGAATGCATGTAACATTATTGGACATGATGGGAGACGCCTTAGAGGTTACAGTGTAGGTGCAGTGTAGGCGCAGGCTAGGTTGCAGCCTTGGAAAAGGCATCTCTTAATGCATGTAACACTATTGGACAACCTTGGTTAATTCAAATTCAGTATGACCTATTTAGTCTTACATTTATCAAAACATTGATACACTTAATCTCTCAAACACTAGAACATTCAAAAATTCCAGCAAATAACTCATAAACTTCAAACCTTCCAACCTTTAAACCTTCAAACAGTCATACACAATGGCCTCTGCACCCCAATATGTGATCAGTGCACATTTCAATGGTGAGACATACATTTGTCCCACCTCTGGGTTTTTGTTTAGAGACACAGAACATCCAGTTTTGTTTAAACAGGAAAGCCAATTTCTTGTACTTCAAAAAATGATTGGAGGCCAAACTTGGACGAGGCCCCGTGACATAAATATTTTATCAGAATCCGGGTTTTTTGGTAACAACCAAATAATATTTTATAAGGTTGAGATTCAAGATGACGAGGATCTTCAAAATATGTTTTCCAGTCATGAAAATTCTGGGTACGACTCTATTGA